AGATTGTTATTCATGTTGGCACTAATGATGTTCAACTTCGCCATTCATAGATCACTAAAAATAACAATAAAGAGGTGTGTGAACTTGCAAGTATGATGTCAGACACTGTAATATGCTCTGGTCCCCTCCCTGCTTATCATGGTGACGAGATACATAGCAGACTGTCGTCACTCAGTGGCTGGATGTCTAAGTGGTGCCCGCAGTATGACATGAGTTTCATAAACAATCGGATGAGTTTTTGGGGCAGACCTAACCTGTTGAAATGAGACGGTCTTCATCCCTCCAGGGGTGGTGCCGCTCTTCTCTCTAGAAATATGGCACATAGTATTAAAGTTTGTACTTGACTAACTGGGGCCCAGGTCAGGAAGCAGACAGACTGGCTAAACCGACCATCTGCTAGAACAGAAGTATAATATAATACAGATAAACACATGATAAAGCTTGGCTTAATCAATATTAGGTCCCTTTCTACAAAAGCGCTTTTTGTAAAACATATGATCACAGATCATAACCTAGATGTGCTATGTTTGACAGAAACCTGGCTAAAACCAGATGCTTACATTACTTTAAATAAGTCAGCCCCTCTATAAACATGAACCGTGTCCAAAAGGTAAAGGGGGAGGTGTTGGTAAATTTTATAGTAATATTTTCAGCATTTCTCAATGGTCTGGTTTCATGTATAATTCATTTGAAGTAATGTTGTTTTTTGTAACGAAATCTAGAGTAATAAGTGTTAATGATAAATCCCTATTGACGTTTGGGTTACTGTTACAGGCCACCATACAGACTTTATCAAAGAATTTGCTGATTTTCTATCTGAGCTAGTACTGGCAGCAGATAAATTCTTAATTGTTGGCGATTTTAATATCCATGTAGATAATGAAAAATAAGCATTGGGATCAGCATTTATAGACATTCTAAACTCTAATGGGATCAGACAACACATGTCAGGGCCTACTCATTGTTGTAATCATACTTTAGATTTAATATTATAACATGGAATTGATGTCAATGGCATTGAAATTCTGCAGCAGAGTGATGATATCTCGGATCATTATCTAGTCTCGTGTATACTCCATATAGCTAAAGCTGCAAACTCAACTCCTTGTTACAAATATGGTACAACCATCACTTCTACGACAAGACTGCTTTGTAAATAATCTTCCTGATTTGTCTCAATTCCTCAGCTTATCTAATAGCTTAAAAAAAACTGTGTACGCCCTCTTTTCTAGCACTTTAGCCACGTTGCTCCTTTACACAGGAAAACAGTCAGACACTGTGGTATAATGAGCACACTTGCGCCCTAAAGAGAGCAGCCTGGAAAATGGAGCACAGCTGGAAGAAAACAAAACTAGAGGTATTTCGTTTTGCATGGAGGGAAAGTATTTGCTTCTACAGAAAAGCATGAAAAACTTCTAGATCTGCTTACTTTTAGGGATGGAACGATTACCGGTTTGACGATAAATCAAGATAAAATTCCCCACTGTTAGTATTACCGTTTCATGTTTTAATTATCATTAATTTAAAACTGTATTCGATTACCGCGATTTGAACAACTCAGGATAAAAAAATACTGTCCAGCATAAAGCACAGTTTTAAGTAACAGCCTCAGTAGTTTCGTTTTGTGTGAAAACATGGTAGAAAGCTGGGAGGTTTTAAAAGAGTGCTAAGGGAATTATACAAATGATTATACGAATGAATTAATTACATGAATGTAACTCTGAAGGTTCTGACTGTCTTCAGAAAAGATTCGATGGCATTTTGTTTTCATCTTCACTCCATATAATACCTAATAAAGTAGTGTTCTTGTTGCAGTGCTGCTTTGTCAACGGAGGTTACGGGAAACAGCTCTAATTCAGCTGTTCCATTAGCGCCACCTAGTGTCAGAGAGTGGATTTACAGTGTTTTATTTACATTCAGCCTGTGTGCAATTTTTGTCTGGCCAAAAAACGGACCGAATTTGCATGCCCTGCTGTAAATTTTGACTGGTTGATGAAAAACAAGCTTATGTAGATTCTACACATTTAAACAATTCGGATAAGGTATCTAGAATTATTTATGGAGCAGATAAAATACATATGATCCTTTATTAATCATTTATCATTTTGACTTAACCCCTTTCTTTATTTAAAGGCTGAAATGTGAGGTTTACCATGTTATGAAACTTTTTCCAAAGCTTTATTTGAACATTTCGTACATTGTGTCATTTAAAATCTGGACATCATTGGTAATGTTATTGTTTTAGTGTTTATGCAAACAAAAAGTAATTTTATATATTGTTTGCTGATTTTAAATACAAAACACAATTTATGTGTCAGTACTTTTTAAACATTTCCAGCACATTTTAACAAAACCGTGATAATACTGATAACCGTGCTAATTTAGGTCACTATAATCGTGATAAGAAATTTTCATACAGTTACATCTCTACTTACTTTTCATCTCTTTTAGAAGAAAATAAACACAACCCCAGGTATTTATTCAATACAGTGGCTAAATTAACGAAAAATAAAGCATCAACACACGCAGTCATTTCCCAAAAGGACAGCAGTAAGACTTTATGAACTTGTTTACTTCCAAAATCGATACTATTAGAGATAAAATTATAACCATGCAGCTGTCAGCTACAGTATTACATCAGATAGCACATTATAGATCTCCTGAGGAACAATTCCACTCATTCTCTGCTGTAGGAGAGGAAGACTTGTATAAACTTGTTAAATCATCTAAACCAGTAATTTAAGAATCTAAATGGACACTGAGATACCTTTAATAAAACTTTGGAAAAAACTTTGGAAAAAGCGACACATGCTTTCCCCATTTTTAAAAAGTCACCATTGGAAAATAATGCAAAAAGGATTGCTAAAGTAAACAGAACTCTATATCGCAACACATACTGTATGCAAAAGCTAAGGTTACAAATTTAAAAAGGTACTGCATAACAGGAATAAGTCACCTGTGACCCTTTAGTAACTCATGCATAGTAATAATGCATAGTATTTAATGACAGAATCTTCATTTTTGGGTGAACTATCCCTTTAAGTTACAAAGATGAAAAGTACTACATAACAGAAATAAGTCACCTGTGACCTTTTACCAACTCATGTACATGTACCTTACAGAAGGAAGAGCGTTTACCTGAGAAAAGAACACATGCATTTGAATAAATGTAAATGTAAATGTATTTAAATTAAATGGTTCAGTGAGGATGTTGGTATATTTTCGCCTAATCTGTACTTTGCAATGGAAATTCTTATTTCATGAGAAAGCAAATTTTTGTGATAAATAATCCAGAGTACATTAAATTTATCAGGCAATACAAAGATACAGGTGAATTTAATGTCAATGTAGCAGCAGGAAGCTAAGAAGCTCTAACTTAAGACAGTCGGGTGGCTATTACAAGAACTAATGTCACGTTAAAGGGTTAGTTCACCCAAAAATGAAAATTCTGTCATTAATTACTCACCCTTATGTCATTCCAAACCTGTAAGACCTTCGTTCATCTTCGGAACACAAATTAACATATTTTTGATTAATTCCGAGAGCTTTCTGACCCTGCATAGAGAGCAATGCAATTACCACGTTCAAGACGAGAATACTTTTTGTGCACAAAGAAAACAAAAATAACCTTTTATTCAACAATTTCTTCTCTTCCGTGTCAGTCTTTTGAAGCGCGTTCACGAGAGTACCACGACACATGCGTGTGGTGCTGCTGACGCAGGAGCCGGCCTTCTGACGTACAACCCGGATGCGCTGTGCCTAGTTTACAGCAGAGGAAGACAGATGCTGTACATAAAACAGTCTTCATAAACATGTCTGAAGATTTCGACAGAGAGGAAGACTTGCAATTTTTTGCCCAGTCTTACTTATTTGAACCAGAATATACAGATGATGAACTAAGAGAAATGGACGTTCTATGTCAGAACGCCGGCTACTGCGTCAGCAGCACCACACGCATGTGTCGTGGTACTCTCGTGAACGTGCGTCAAAAGACTGAAACGGAAGAGAAGAAATTGTTGAATAAAGGCATTATTTTTGTTTTCTTTGAGCAGTACAATAAAATTATTAACTCATTTTAATTAACAAAAATATATATTTAGTTGTGTCTGCATTCCAAAAAAAGGTCCTGAAGTTAAACATTTCATTTTCAAAAGCATCTCCTTTCACTGACCATATGTTGATGATCCTACTTATTTCCTGTTTGTACCCAATTAGTGGAAAGTGTTCATTTAGGATGACAATCACATTAGACTGCTCTGAAAAGACTAAAGTGGATAATGTTACTCAGCAATACTTCACCTTAGCTTTTTCATGCCACAAGAATCTAAACACTTTAAATGAACCTGCATCAACCAGAGCCCCAAACTGATCAAAATATCCTTTGAAACAGCATTCAGACGCACACTGCGTTGGCATTATTAGGACAACAAAAAAAATCCAACCAAACTATCTCACCAGCATAACATCACAAATGTCCATGCAGAGTGCAGACACATACAGAGGTGTAGAAAATCCAGCTTAGGTGATTTAAGATGGTCTCCCAGTCTGACCAGCAGGGAAAAAACACTAAAACTGACTAGACAAGCCTGGCCAAGCTTAGGCTGGTTTAAGATGTTTTAAGGTTGTAAAGCAAGATTTCATAATAACTGGCAGAAAATCAGAATCAGGAATCAGTCAATGATTAATGTCATTTTTTGTCTGTTATTGCTGGTTGCTTTCTCACTCCTCTTGCTAAGGGTCAAACTTCGGTTACCATGCAAATCAAAGAAGCAAAAATATGTAACGTACAGTATGTTGTGCTATGGCATACTGAACAGATAAGAGCATGACTATATTCTGATGCTGATCCCACAAAGGAGGAGATGATACAGTCATCACCAATGACAGGCAGGTGCTAATGATGACAAACCATCGCTGCCACGATGACAGCTTCATTCGCACCATGGACTGAATACAATTAATGAATGAATAACAATGACACTTCCCATCATTCGACTTACCCAAAATCTTGATCCATAGATTTAAAGAAGAATTTGTAGCTGTTGACCGGTCGGTTGCTGAGGACATTTTTGAAATCTGCCAAAGTTACCTTCTCTGGAGCTACTGACAGTTTCACCAAATAAGGAGTTTCCTCCTCGTCTATATGGTAAATTATTTTAGTCTCCGCCATGAGAATATGGTGGGAACAATTGCCGGAGAACAGCGCGTGATCCTGATGCTGTCTATACAGACGCGCGGTGACAATAAATAAAATGTCTAAAATAACGGATGCTAACTGAATATAATCACGCATTTGGCGCGACTGAAGCTATGAATTAAGCGACTTTGTAACGCTAAGGCTAAGAACACAGCCATTATGGAGGCCTGATATATGTCTATTGCAGCCCACTATGCGGAGGATACGCTGCCTGTGTTACCGAAACAGGAAGGAAAGGTTCACATCCTCGAGAGAATCAGCCTGGAATATCCGAGCCGCTCTTCTGCGCAGTGCTGCCATCGTGTGCTAGAAAGCAGCCATGCACTCTAAGTCTGGATTCGATTTGGGGTTATGCAACTCTTCCCACATAGTGAGGTAGATATGTGGGGGCGTGTTCGAACGAGACGTTTTAGGTAGGTGTGGCTGACTCTTAACTTTTATAAAGAATATCTCTTTGGATTTGAGACTTTAGTCTTTGCAAATTTACAGATCTTCTTTATGCACCAAGAGCTTGTAACACTCCAAAGAGAAAGGAAAAAATGAAATCACATCATATGACCCCTTTAAAGCCGTAAACTAAAAATTCGAATTTGGAGAATTCGTAACACTTACAATAAGGTCCCATTAGTTTCCGTTACTTAATGCATTAGCTAACATTAACTAACAATGAACAATGTGTTATATTTATATTTGTTCATCTTTGTTAATCAAATTAAACTCTTCGTTGTTAGTTCATTATCTTAGATCCAATAAATAATATCAATAGATGCAACTTTTGATTTTAATAATGTATTAGTAAATGTTGAAACATTAACTTTGGTTAATAAATGCTTTAGAAGTAGGCTATTTGTCATTGTTAGTTCATGTTAACTAATGTAGTTAACTGATATTATTGAACAAATAAAGTTTGTAAATTGTTACTAAAGAATTAAAATGGAACATTGAAATAAATTCAAATAAATATGCTTCTTCAACTTAGAATTGTACTGTTTATGATTGAATTCAAATTCATTTCAAATCGAAGCATTAAAAAGGAAATTAGAATTTGAAGAATTAAAATGGAACATCCACATTAATTCAAATAACTCCTGTAAATGCATTTATATATATATATATATATATATATTTCAGTATAAATTACTTATTTGCAACTTTTATAGTACACAACTAAAAAAAACTGATCAGTGTTGATTTCACCTACAGAAAATGTAATCAATTTCTGTTTCTTTGTATTTAATACATTTGCTTGCATTTTATGGTTCATGGTAGAAAAAACAATTCAGTATGCTCATTTAAAATAGTTTTTATAATGAATCCAAAAAACAATGTGATGTAAATATTGTAGTACTGTATGACAAAGTTAAATTCTGTTTTGATGAGTTAATTGTTTAAACAGCACTGATATGACTTTTGGTAAAATTACGAGAAATGTCTGTAAAAAATCAGCTGCAGTCTTATTTTGGGAAATTCCTCATTTGTTGAGCAAATGAGTAAAGATTTTAATTAGGGTCATGAATAAGCAAATAGCTGTACTAAGGATTTCCAGTATCAAAACCCTCAAGTACTGAGGTGTTTGATTTTGTTTGAGCATCATAAATCTTTTACATTACAGGCACATGAGCCTACAATTGTGATGAACTGAAAAAATACCACCTACATCATGCAAAAGATCATCCAGAGGTTAAAATGTGTTTATTTTATTCTGCTTTGAATGAGAGAACATTGGCAGTGAACTGAAAATGAAATCATCAATAATAAAACCGCTTCAGGATGGGAATGATCAAGTATCCATTATGTGGCATCATGTACCAAAAGCATTGTGGTCTACCCAGCGAATTCCTCTTGCAACCTCAATCAATGGTATTAACACATTCTTATTTGGAGCCTTTGAGGAATTTAAAAGGGTGGCTGAGTGTCATATAAACATTATACTGGGCAAAAGCATTGCTTCAGTTTCACCATAATAATCTGTTAAGATAAAGCAGTACACATTACATAACACTGATTTGAGCAAACTAGAAAAGAAATGTTTGCACCTATTATGTATGAATATTCATAGCCATGCTATTACATTTTTATGTTGTACAGGTACCTTGATGCATTTGCATCAGTTTCCCACTTAATTATTTGACCTCAAATGAACTCAAAGCTGCAAGTATGGATGAAAGCAAATACATTAAACGCTAGAGCATTCAAATAAACTGTGACAAAGGGAATTAGTAAGGTTTGTAACATGAGAAAAGTAAGCATGAAAATATACAAACAATAACATGGAAAAAGTTGATAGAGTATGACAGGATACAGAAGATTGTGATAGAAAATGTTATACACTAAAGGAAATGTAGCCTTTTAGTGGCAACACAGTTAGTAATGGGAATAGAATATCAAAATGAGAAAAATAAATACTTATTTAATTAAATATTTTGGCTAAACTGACTGTGCTTTCATATACCAATAAGAATGTAGACTTTAATTTCCACTTAACATTTTACCATGTTTAAAACTGTTACACAAAACCAGCATATTAAATTCAGGATCCAGTCATGGGCTAAATTATGAGCTTTTACATAACCACAGATACACAGACAGATCAACAGTATAAGCAAATTACACTTGACCTGGCATGATTATTAAAATGGACCTTTTAATAATCATGCTGTTCATATAATATAGTAAAGGTATTAAGGTGCCTGCATTAAAGAATGCTTATGAATTGTAGCTTTCAGTAAGCACAGCTTAAACCTACTGAGGAAGACAAAAAAAACATGAACAAAGCATAAAAATGCATTGTGTGATGTAGCAATAGCTTCTGCAATATTTGTACCATACAGATGTGCACTTTTAATTACAAAATCATTTAAAACTGCAAAGCTTTTTTGATTCCACAATGAATAAGAAGGTTCTTCCTCACATAAAGCTTCTGAGCTAGCATTTCATGTCACAGCCTCTGCCAGGCCTCATCCTTACATAGCCTTACATAGAAAAAAACCATACAACTGTGTCTTTCTCTCCTTTTCACTTATTTCCTTGCGATATTGTCACTCTCCACATTTCATTCTTCATCCCAAAGTCACCCCAAGTTTGACCAAATCTGCCCCTGGACCAGCCAGTGGCAAAGTACCTCTTATTTCCAAGATGGCTTCTCCATCTCTGCAGAGAAAAAAAGTTAAAGAGAGAGAATTTGTGAATTTTGGAAGACACAATCAAATTTCAGAGCAATTTAGGTTTGCACACTACTGTGGCAAAAGTTTGGGCTGAGATTGATTGATTGATTGATTTAAAGAAGTCTTCTCACCGAGGCTGCATTTATTTATTTCTAAATACATTAAAACAATCAAAACCCACGATTTTACCTCTGTCCAGGTCAATGGCTTTTGGGGAGCAAAGTTTGGACATTTCCGCTTCCTTCAGTAGATTGTTCTTGTATTCTGCAGAGGCAAACAGAAATACATTTGTCCAAGTCTTTTCACGGGTGGTGCATTTTGAGAGGAAATATGAGGTAAACTCACCCAACTTCGTCTCCTCTTGGTTGCTTGACTTCACATCTGCGATTCTTCGCTCACATTCTTTCTTAACACATGATGTGTGGCCCCTAGATATATGACACACATTGACAGCTGATGCTTTATGCATAACTAATGTTCACTTCACAGATGGCGTTTTAACATCAGTGGATACTCACACATACGTCACCGTCGGCAGAGGTGGGCTTTCGACTTTTCGTGGATCAAAATCTAGGCCTAATCAAAACAAAACAAATGCAATGCAAATATTAAATCAAGTACAGTGTACATAATACAAGTGAAACTTTCTTATTTTCTATAGATTCATTACATGCAAAGTAAAACGTTTCAAAAGTTTTTTTGTTTTAATTTTGATGATTAGAGCTTACAGCTCATGAAAGCTCTTTGTGGAGGGTGTCAATGATTGTCTTCTGGACCATTGCCAAGTCAGCAGTCTTCCCCATTATTGTGGTTTCAAAAAACAAGAGATACCCGGAATTTATACTGTAGGGATGGTCATTTAATGACACTCAAATGTAAATATTCTAATATTTTGAGATACTGGATTTTTGACTTTTATGAGCTGTAAGTTCTAATCATTAAAATTAAAACAAAAACACTTTTGAAATGTTTTACTTTGCATGTAATGAATCTAGAACATATGAAAGTTTCACTTTTTGAAATAAGTTAGACAAAAAAATTAACTTTTTCATGATATTCTAATTTTTTGAGATGCACCTGTATATACACGTGTGTGTGGCTGAAAGACACTTCTGAAGTGCCACAAAGAAACCATTTTATCCACAGTTACATTCAGACACCTGAAATATAATTATTTGCCTTTTTAGAGGAATAAAATGCAAAACGACAGATGTAAAGGACCAATAAAAGACCTTGTCTTTTTCGTTGACGTGTCAGGAGAACGATAGCCAACACAATAAGGGCCAATAGGAGGAGAGTTGCCAGGATGTAGCCCAGCTGCTGCAGGAAGTGATTCCTTTGCTCTGGCAAGATGACATTGATTACATGTGGCGGCACTTCTACCATGTTGGTGTCTAAAAGAAAAGACGATAAAGTATATATATTGAGGAGTTAGGCACTGAACTTGATTGTTTTTTTTTGCCATTTTTAGTAACCACCAGAGGGCCCTGTGCTACTTACAAAGACTTATGCTACACAGAATCTTTTGCTGTGAAAAAGCACACTTCGGCACTCCTGAAGGAGAGATATTACAGATTGAATCATAATCTGATTTCATGCCCTCTAAGAACTGAGACCAATATCATCTATGCTCCTGAGCTATTTATTCGGCTCCCCATCAGCTTACATAGTCTATAAAATAAATGACATAAAATAAATACTACATAAAGTATATTTCGACAAAACAAGGATTAACCTGCTATAAAACATAATACATTTTCCAGTGAAAAATAATTGAAACACCAAACTCCACAAAAGAATAAGAAAGAAAGAAAGAAATATACAGAGCAGATAATTAACAAATATTCATAAGAGCTGGATTAATACCGATATCGACAGCACGTCTTTCCCTTTTCATTGGTCTTTTCATTGGATATTTTCATCTTTCTTGCGCTACAACCTGTAAGGGCTTGACCCTTAGCTAAAGACAACTGAAGAAGAGACCTGTAGTACAGAGAGATCTGGTATTATGGCAAAACAGATGTTGGAGCTGAGAGAGTGCATTGCTTGTTTCTGGAGTTCAAAACATTATATTGGCAACACCAAGGTCATGGGATTGATTCTAAGAAAATACACACACTGATAAATGTGTACTTCGAATGCATTCTAAGTGGCTTTGGACAAAAATATCAAGTGTGCGAATGAAAATGCTTCGTTTTAAGCAGCAGAGTTAGTGCACTTGTTTATTTTAATTGCACTCTAAATTCTGCAAGAAAGACCGGAAACTGCCACGTGTTTCTCAGCTAGAATGAGATTTTTTTTTTTTCTGGCAGGAAAACATGGCTTTAAATAAGAAGAGTGGTGGAAAACAGAGGGAGGATTGGATGAAATGGGGAGGTTCTATGTGGTCCATTTTATTGAATGACTTTATCATTTTGCTTCCACGGGAAAATTTAATAAATCAAAAAAACAAAACAATGTTGCACCACTTCTTCAACGATAGAGACATAATAAAGACACGCAGCCTAAAATGACGACAGTAGATGACAAAATACTGAATGATATCATAAGTCGTAGAAGAGTAGTGTTATTAGATGTGGAAAATCACTCAGAGACTATTATGTTTGGGCCTTACAAAAGAGCCATGGCTGCAAATCAGAGATTCTTGCTTCTTAATGTCTTACTGCCATGAAGTTGTTATATTATTATTTAAAGATTTTTAGAGACTTCTTACAAAAACCACCCAAACTTTTGAATAGCGATGTATCTAAAATTTAATTCATTAACATGAATTTTTTTTTTAAAACAATAATAGTGGTAATATCAGACCACTACAAATTACGTTTTAAGCAGCAGAGTTAGTGCACTTGTTTATTTTAATTGCACTCTAAATTCTGCAAGAAAGACCGGAAACTGCCACGTGTTTCTCAGCTAGAATGAGATTTTTTTTTTTTCTGGCAGGAAAACATGGCTTTAAATAAGAAGAGTGGTGGAAAACAGAGGGAGGATTGGATGAAATGGGGAGGTTCTATGTGGTCCATTTTATTGAATGACTTTATCATTTTGCTTCCACGGGAAAATTTAATAAATCAAAAAAACAAAACAATGTTGCACCACTTCTTCAACGATAGAGACATAATAAAGACACGCAGCCTAAAATGACGACAGTAGATGACAAAATACTGAATGATATCATAAGTCGTAGAAGAGTAGTGTTATTAGATGTGGAAAATCACTCAGAGACTATTATGTTTGGGCCTTACAAAAGAGCCATGGCTGCAAATCAGAGATTCTTGCTTCTTAATGTCTTACTGCCATGAAGTTGTTATATTATTATTTAAAGATTTTTAGAGACTTCTTACAAAAACCACCCAAACTTTTGAATAGCGATGTATCTAAAATTGTATTCATTAACATGAATTTTTTTTTAAAACAATAATAGTGGTAATATCAGACCACTACAAATTACAAATGTTTGTAATGAATTCTTTCTAATGTACCCCCCACTCTCTGTGAAAACAAGCAAATCCTGCTTACTACTGTGTTAAAACATGCCCATTAAGTAATTGTTACCTGTGAAGAACAGTGTCTGCCCTATAATCTCAATCTTAAACTCTTATTGTATATGTTTGAACCCAGAGCACTCAGGGGAACACAGGCTAATATCGTAGGGTAGATTACTGTAATCAGTAACAGCTGAAGGGTCTTCTACCCTCGTTTTTCAGAAGACCTCATAAAAAGGCCGGATATGACTATTTACTGGCATTCAAGAGCCATGGTAAAGAGCAATATAATGTATCGTGTCACACATTTTTGCCTTGAATAAAAAGCATTTTTACTAAAATGGCAACTACATAATTTCAAAACACATTCATTTCTGTATCTTTCACCTCAGTTAAAAGACAAACAGGCTTCTCCACAAAAGTATTTCCCAAACAGTGATTTATAGTTATTATGAAAAGATGTGTTTTGCTTAGCTTCAGACTTCCCTTGCATGTTCATGTCGCAAATAATAATAATAATAATACAAAAAAAATTGCACAAAAGCAATGAAACATCTTCCAGAACTTGAGAAGCAGTCTTTACTCTTTCCTGCTTGTTCATGAACTGACGTCTCCATGAATAGCTATGTTTACGATGAAAGCTGAACATTTATGAGCCAAACAATCCAGAACAGGGCTTCCACTGGGACTTTTCTTGGACTGTCCTGCTTCTAAGACCATAGGGGAACATCAATATGCTCAAAGCTTGTAACTTTTGAAAAGCTATTGATATGTCAGATCCTGGGAAAGCTGTAAGTGAGTGATTCACATGATTAGAACCACCTGGTCTAAAATGGCTGAACTATAAGAGGATAAACAGAATTATGAAAAGTCCTAAAAGGAAATGGTTTTATGTAATGGCTGTGCTGGATCCAGACAGTTGTTTTTTTCTTCATGCTTAAACAAGACAGAAGAAAGGACTGACACATTTTGGACGGCTTAAGAAAAGGTTGAAGGGGGAATGAGGGGATGTTGAGGGTGGGCTGACCTAAATCTACAACAGTCTCCTCCTTATGGCTTATGGTCTGATGTTGAGCTCTAGCTACAGCTGGCCAGATGCTTTACAGATGAAGCAAACTTGCCTTCTCCTGCAGATAAACAAGACGCTGTCCAAAAAAACTCCAGAAAGGATGGAGACGGAGGGTAAAAAAGTGAGTGTGGCCAAAAAAGAGAAAACTATGCAGTGAGAAGTGAGAATGAAAGCGACATAGGCAAGACAGATCAACAGAAAATTAAAGAAACAGAAGAAGGGAAATGGAATGCACAAGGGAGGAGACAAAAATCATGAAAGAAAACAAGAAAGAAAGACTGAAAGAAAAAAAGGACAGATAAATTCAAACCACAAAGCTATTTAGCAACAGTTAAAAGAGAAAAAGTGAAAGCTTAGAAAACGAATAGACTGCCAATTTGTATGACATTTGTAAACAGTCTGCATTCTGCACACAGTACAACACAACAAAATATAGCTAGGGGTGTTGAGGAAATTTTGTTCATCATTTGTTAATCAATTGGTCATCAAAGTACCACATGATTCTTTTACTGCTGCTTCTTCTTCTTCTTACTGCTTCAGTCATTTGTCACTGATTATCTTCCCCTCCAACGAGCTGAACCACTGCAACTGGGTCATCATTGAAACTTGAGATCTCGTGAATGAATCAGCTAGACCAGTGTGAACCAGACTGACCAATTCATCAAAAAGGATAATCAAAAGAATGTTTCAAAATGATTAAAAAGAATGAATCAAATGACTCAAAAGAATGATTACTTGATCAGTCACAGCTACTCATCTCACAAATACGCAATGGTGAGCATCCTTTTTCTGTTTTTCAGTGAATAATGACAATTTTAGTTTGTTCCGAACACAAACGTGTCATAAGGCTTTATAAAACTTGGAATATAGTGCACACGTTGTTTGGACTATTTATTTATTTATTTGTTAGTGCTGTCAAATTATTAATCGCGATTAATCGCATCCAAACTAAAAGTTTATGTTTACATAATATATGTGTGTACTGTGTATATTTATTATGTATATATAAATACACAAATACAGTATATATTTAGAAAATATTTACATGTATTTACATGTATAGATTTATATTTATATAATTTATAAATATTTTTAATATACAAACATAACATATTTTTCTTAAATATATATATATGCATGTGTGTCTATTTATATATACGTAATAAATATACACAGTACACAAACATATATTATGTAAACAAAAACTTATTTTGGATGCGATTAATCATTTGACAGCACTATTTTTTTTTATATATATAATTTTTTATACATATTTTAATGTGCTTTTACAGCCTTTTTAAAGATTCCTTGATGTGTTTCACATTAAAAAAAACTCATATGGGTTTGAAATGACGTGAGGGTGATTAATGATGAGAGAACTATCCCTTTAACTCAAGGAAGAGAGCCTAGACAAAATTAAAAAAAACTCATATGGGTTTGAAATGACGTGAGGGTGATTAGTGATGAGAGAACTATCCCTTTAACTCAAGGAAGAGAGCCTAGACAAACAATTGACATCAAAACAAAATACAGACACTGCAAATCAGAACAACACAATGTATAAATAAGCACTCACTGCAGATGCCCAAGTTTTTGTTATTTTTTTGCCAAAAAAAGGCCATGTAGAAATATTATGTTTTTAATAATGAATTCAGCAGTGGAGAAAGTGTTTAGTGCTTTTCTTTCTAGCCCAAAAGTCTGTGATTATCCACAAGATTCCACAGAGGTTTGTGTATTCTAGGGTCAACTTTCTCTTATTAGTGGTTTTTCTGCTGAATCCCCACCCGTCATTCTCCCCAACTCTCTTGTCTCTGTAAAAAATCATTAAAACTTATGCATCAATTCCTCTCTGTCTCTTATATATTTCCTTCCTTTTTTATCTCCCAATTCACATCGCCTACCTCCCTGTCTTATACAAACAAAAAAGCACTTTCTTATCCTCCTGCACCCGTCATTCTCCCCAACTCTCTTGTCTCTGTAAAAAATCATTAAAACTTATGCATCAATTCCTCTCTGTCTCTTATATATTTCCTTCCTTTTTTATCTCCCAATTCACATCGCCTACCTCCCTGTCTTATACAAATAAAAAAGCACTTTCTTATCCTCCTGTCTGCCTGGCAATACCTCAAAAGAAAACATATGGCTATCGAATGATCCGAACCAGAGCAGAACTCAAACTGAGAAAGCGAGCTGTTACAGTGGGTGAGGGAACAGCAGTGGAATGCAAGTGAAAAAAAGAAGAAAAAAAAAACAAGAGAAAAAGAAGCGTGCTTGATGCAAAAGAAGAATAAGCTTTAAAGGAGAGCTGCTGCATTTTAATGAATGTGAACGTGGTAACCCAGACAACAGGGTAACCAGATCTGCAGACTTACCTCAGACTGTTTTAGGTCAGGATTGTTTGTTTAAGTTCATGCACTGTGATTACATCCACCCTATTTTCTTTCTCATTTATTTTTCTTAAATTTGTTTATTGTTTAGTCAATACTGATTAAATTCATAAGACATAAGAGGGAGTCCCAGGGTAGTGGGTGTTTTTTTCTTTGGCTCAATAAATGCTGACTAAGTAATACAAAACTGTTCTATAAAACAAGTGTAGACCAGTAATGAGCATCAACCCTTGACTCTTTCTCTTGTGAATCCAAGCAAATGACAAACAAACCAAGAACCAAGAACAAATAAAGAAAGGCAAATTAAATCAGGAGAACTCCCTCCCTAGCCTGGGGCTCTAAGTTGCAAATATAGCAATCATCACATTTCTTCAGGAACATGCTGAAGATGCTCCAAGAAGGACGTTCTTTAGTCTTACATTTACTTCTACCTGTTTAAGTGGTCTGCACTGGCATTTATCCACATGCAACTTGTGAGTTGAGTGCTGACAACAATTTTAGACACACTTTATGAACTGCAGACATGCATTCAGAAGAAAAATATTTACTGGAATCTGTGGCGCAAACAAGTCATAATGAGCCAAAGCAGCAACAAGAACTCCTGACAGCAGCAACTATTCTGTGTGATAAATTGGGAGAATTCTGGAAAATCTTGTGTGTTGTGAAAGTGTCGTACATGATTAGTAAAAAGTTGAAATAAAGAAAGTTGAATAAATTAACCTTACTGAATTCATGCTTCTCATGTTTGATCTCTTGATTCTCATAATGAATAGATTTTTATTATACATTACTGTTACTCTGGGTGTTTCTCTTACTTGGGTCTTCATTGGGAAGATATTGAGGTTCATCTGAGGGTTCCTGAGGTATCTGAGGAACTGGAGGCATCACAGTAAGCTGGAAGATGCGTCTCTCGTGCAGGCCGCAGTAGTGATGGTGGAGATGACAGGAGTATAGTCCCTGATCCAGGGGCTGGATGTCTGAGATGGTCAGGGAGAAATCTCCCTGCGAGAACGCTGTGGCAGAAATATTCATCTTTTGCTGAACAAACAGTGGTCCGTAGTGACGCCTCTCACCAGAAGCGTACAGGTCGATGAGCCGATCGGCACGGTCGTGTCGGACCCCTGGAGGTTGACGGTCCCAGTGCACCACTTGTTGTTGGTCCTCCTGACTGTTGCTCTCTGTCCAGATGGGCCGGCGGTTAACGCAAGGGAGAACCACCTTGCTGCCCACCAGAACTACATACACTGCCTTCTGACCGTCCCAAAACCGCCTCTCCTTACGTGCTGAGAGAAAACCACAGCAACATGTATATGAGTATGCATATATAATAACTGTTCAGAAGTAATTATAAAAAAATATATATATTTTTTTAATTATACTTTTATTCAGCAAGGATCCATTAAATTGATCTAATTGACAGTAAAGACAGTCATAATGTTACAAAAAACTATATTTTTTTACTAGTTTTTATTCATCAAAGAAAAAAATATCATGGTTTCTACAAAAATATTAAGCAGTATAACTGTTTTTGAAATTGAAAATAATAATAAGAAATGTTACTTGAGCACCAAATTAGCAAGTCAGAACGATTTATGAAGGATAATTTTACACTTGAAAATTCATGGAAAATTTCAGCTTTGCCATCACAGGCATAGATTAAATTAAAAAATGTATTAAAATAGAAAAAAGTTATTTTAAATTGTAATACTAACTACACACTCTCTATATATTTTTGAAAGGTTGGTGACTGGAGGTGAACAGAAGAGTGCAAAATTTTCTTTTCAAATGGTCTTCACATTCTTTCCATTCTTTAATCGGCAGCCAACTCCTTATTTGGCATGAACTTAAACAGTCTGATCAAGATGCAGGTTAAATGCCAAGAATAGCCAGACAAAAACCTCCTCTGAAATATGAAGTGAATTTACCAACCTGATCTGGTGACATTGAGCTGAACTTTGATTGACTCATACAGGTGGCAGTAATGATGATGCAGGTTACAGGAGTAGATTCCTTTGTCACTCACTGCAACATCTGTATGAACCCAGACAAAATTTATTAATTTAGAATCTAGAAAAGGAACATCAGGGCTTTGCCTGAAAATTCTGAAATGTGAAGGTTATATACTGTAGGCCTTATGTAGTTTAAATAGGCTACTTGAGAAGTTTGAATGGATTTGATGTTCCTAGGGGTATAGCTAGGTGGCTCCCAAAGCGTTCTGTGTAGTTGTTAGGCAGTTGCGAAGGTATACTTGGTGCTTACTATGATGTTCTCTTACAGAAAGACAGACTGATTGACTGGTGGCTGCTAAGGTTTCAGGCTCCTTTCTAGGGAGTTCCTTTGCATTGCCGAAAAGTATCTCACCTTTGATTACCAAAGAGAAGTTGCCATCCTTAAAAGCAGTCTTGGGCATGTTAATGCGTCCCTGGTTGTAGCCATTGTAGATGCGCTGGTCTCCAGCAGAAAACATGTCTATAACACGTTCCATTGCGTGGTTTGGGCCACTACGAAGTAAATCCCAGTGCGCTACCCTTTGGCGATCCTTTAAGCGGTCTTGTGTCCACACCATGCGCTGACTATGACATTGCAATACCGCCTGAGATCCCTTGGGGGCGCTGATATTGTACATGGCCACCACCACGCCACTGCCATCACTTTGGCCTAGGGCTGAAACACAAAGGGCCGGTTTCCCGGACACAGATTAGGCCTAATCTTTGAAAAGCACTATCATGTGTGATTACCCAAAGTAAATGGAGCAGCACTGTTGTTGTCAACCATAAATTGCTACAGCACCAGTAAACTGGTGTTTGACGTAGTTACAGCGTTCTCAGTCCTGCAGCTGCAGTTACCCTTCTGTTCAAAAGTTTGGGGTCGGTAAGTTTACTGAATGTTTTTAAAATCTTATTATCTTATGTCCACAAAGACTGCATTTATTTGATTAAACATATTGTAAAAACAGTAATATTGTGAAATAATATTACAATTTAAAATAACTGTTTTCATTTTAAATATATTTTAAATATATAATTTTAAATTACATATGGTTTATAAAAATACATTTTAGTACATTTCGTATTATCAGTGTTGAAAACAGTTTTATGTGGAAACCTTGCTAAAAAAAATTCAGGATTCTATAAAGAATAAAATTTTCAAAAGAACACCATTTATTAATTTTAAATTAAACAGAAATCAATTGTAACAATGTATTTGTCATTACTGTCACTTTTGATCTGTTTATTGCATCCTTCTAAATAGCATTAATATCTTTTTAAAGAAATCGTACTGACCTTAAACTTTTGAATGGTAGTGTATATTTTTGGATACTTATATTGTTAGGTAATAAGCTCAATACACTTTTGATTAAAATTGTTCAGTTTTAAGTAATGTGCTTACCAGGGCTGAAGAGGAATGAAGCCAGAACTGTAAAATAAGCAAACAGAAAAACTAGTTAAAATTAAATACATAGGCCACCTCATGCTTTTCTTCCCACTAGGTTAAAGACTAGAGATGTACCATAAGGGATTTATCACTGTGTTTTTTAGAAACAACTGTGAGACGATTAGCTCTGAAAACTCAGCAGGCGCTTGAGCAGCACTGTTAATCTGACAGGCTGGGTGTTTTATGGCAAACTGGGCCTTGAAACTACCCACTGAGGGCTTCTGAGCTCAATAAAACAATATAGTGTATAGGTATAATACGTGAAAAATATAGCAACACACAAAAAGATAGAGAATCACGGTAATGGCCAGCCATGTACAGTAGGCTTCCCTGTTTGTATAACATTACTTTGTCAGCAAATATTTTAGGAAAATGAGCAGCACCAATATTTTGCAGCCCTGTGTCTGGAAGGACTCTTTATGGATGTTTGTATGAGTCTGTAACTATCAGGAATAAACACCTCTTTGTACGTCTACAAGAAGAATCCAAACACTCCTGGCTAATAAAACACTGTAATCTCTCGTAAAATTTACACTTAGAATATAAACATTTAACTAGATATTACCTAAGCCCAAATTATTCTCGATCACTGAAATTTTTGTCAAGTTTTTGTAAATTCAAATCAACCTTAAAGGGACCGTTCACAAAAAAAGAAAATAGGCCTACTGAAATTTGCCCTACAGTAGCTCTCTTTGACATGTTCATGAGAGAAGTAACAATGTCTGATTTGTGAACAAAACAGTCAGGTTTGGAACAACATGAGGGTAAGTAAATGATGACCACCATTTTCATTTTATGAACTTTATGACTAAGGGAGTGGTTGGATAGTCCCAGATCCTCTTGCATTAAGAGGGTCTGGGACAATCCAACCACTCCCTTAGTCATAAAGTGGTAACATTTTATGTGCTTCCTTTTCAACATGCTAAAAAATATGAGAGATTTATATAAAATGGGTTGGTTTACTTTTTTTTCTTTTTTTCTATTCACACAACCCACATGCTTAAAGAAATTCAGTACAAAACACAAACAGTCTGTTGGATGAACAAGACATTTTAACATTTCACAACCATGTGAAACACATCTAGCATTTCATGAAAATTCAGAGCAGTGTAGTTCTTTTTGCACAGCTGTCTTTAACAGCTGTGACTACCATTCAGATGACTTAATCACTGAAACAGTCAATGGTCAATGGTCTGTACAATTATTTCCAAAGCAGTGGTTTCTCTGAAAGGGCAGACTGAAATATAATGCTTTTTTAGAGACGTTTACAATAAAGAAAGAAATTCAGTTAAGCTGCACAGTAATACTTATTTTCATATGGGTTTTCATCTCTGTACTGTATGGTCTTTGAGGGTTGTTATGTCATAATGATTTTGTGTCAAATGAGAGAAAAAGAAATACTTTTGCGAATGTACAGCCAATCCTGAGGGGAATAGAAAGGCAGTAATAAGGATGTGTTAGAAGCTAGAGAAACCACAAACATCAGAGTAAAAGGCAGAGGAGGAGGAGGAGGGAGAGGGTCAAGGGTTTGGAATCTGCTGAGGAAGCACTTTGAAATGCAACGACTTGTCTGTTTGCTCATATATCCGTATTTCATTCACATATGCACACTCATATTCACACAAACATGTTGAGGGCAAATCAACACCTGCACATGAGACTGTAAACCTACAAAACTGCATCTCTCTTTCTATATCTTTCTCATGTTATCCCAAAAATGTTTCTGTGCCATTTACTAACCCCCATGTCATTCCAAACCTGTATGACTTCAGTGAAATACAAAAGTTTCCCTTCCTTTATTGTATGAAAAATACTTTGGTGTTTCAAGAAAAAGTAAAGCAGGTTTGGAATGATGCGATGATTTTCACAGTAAAACATGCAATATGTCATTAATTTGACAAAATGTTAGCAGAGATTTACAGAATGGGTATGAAATAAGTTTAAAAAGGATTTCATTAAACTTTCTGTAACTCTCACTCTCCTGTTTTACAGAAAATGTTCAACTACTTTCTTTAAGTCAGGGCTCTGATGTTTTTTTTTTCTAAAATTCATGAAACAGCTTTAGAGGAACTGTATATAATTGAATAAGGAACTGTATTTTTATTGATGAAAATTATTTCATAAATAGTCCTACACCAGAAATGAGCCCGCGTTCTTAATCTCAGCCCAGCAGAAAACTCAAAAAAAAGCAGTGCTGTTTGTCAGGCATGGGTATTGGCCTTGTAACCGAGGTTTGTTTACATGGGTTAAACTATAGGTAAGATTTCACTTTTGTTATCTTACAGACCTGCTGAGTGTGCAGAATCATAATGTTATGGGATTATCCACTCAAAACAAAAATTATAACAAAATGTCTAGTGTATTAATTTAAGTTGAATGGTCAAGATAGGGAATAAAGTGAATAAAGTAAGTATAGTGCACATTTTACTTCAGAAATTCAGTGTATGGAGAATTTAGCAGGCTGAATAGATGTAACAAATCCATTTAGAAGTTAAAATGGAGGCAAAGAAATGTATAATTCAAACAGAGTTTATACAGAGTTTACAATATTATGCTCTAATTGAAAAAAAAACAAAAAAAACATGTCATTGGCCCAACTGCCAATGGGGCCTGTCTAACTGACCAAAACTGGTTAATCATAAGTTTACAATACTGACTCAACCTGTGATAAGATGAGTAGATCTGAATAATAAAACATATACACTTGTTTTAAATAAAACCTTATGCCTTTGCTGTTTGTGTCAAGTGAATCACCCTGAGTCACTCCTGACTTCTAAATATGCAACTCTAGTTCCAATATGTTAGGTAAGGGGAATTTTCTTGATTCACTTGGTTTTCAGTGCAAAGAGAATATGAAGAATAAGCTTCAGCTCTTTGTAAACCATCACTAATCAGACATTTGAACAAGAGAAAACAAGGCCATCATGGACAAATAAATATCTCATGCTCACCACCTGAATTCCCCTCCACACAAAATAAAATTTCATACCACATCTAGCATTAATTCCACAGAATGTCCAGAAATATATTCATTTGCTTTTTTTCTTTTATATGCTTAACTTTTGGTGCTCATATCATGAGCAAACCGTTTTGTTGGGAGCAGAAACTTCTCTTTGGGTTAGTTCAAAACAAAGTCATCAGTCTCGAACACGAGTTTGAAGTTATCTGCGCCAGATGGTTTTGACATTTGGGTCTGGGTCTCAACAGTGCTAAATACAGACTGAAAAACCATTACATGACATTATAAAACGTTTAAACAGCAGAGAATATTCACAAACATTTACAATGACTCTCCAGAGACATGCAAAGATATAGCCTACACTCAGGTAAGAGAAGAGCGACACGCCATATATACCACACAAAATTTAGCATTTTAGAAGTCTGTTTAAATATAATAGACCATATTTATTAATTTATACGTCAATGTAAATAGAACCACAATAAAGCTTAAAGAACAACAGTAATTTGTAAGTAAATCAGGTAAGTTAGCCTAAATCAGATACTCACGTTGAGCCAAGAAAAGCGCTCGAGCGCACAAGGACACAGCCGAGTTCTTCATGTCCGATATAATCTTGGGTTATTCACTCTAGGATGTGTTGAGGAAAGCAGTATAAAGCCGAATTTGCAGGTTTTTATTCACCTAACAAACGTCTATCGCGAAGGAAGACTTGCTGTTTGTCGACCAGCGACATCAGCAGCAGGCTGCTCTACTGACCCACCTTCAGTACTCACTCTCTCTCCGCCTGGACTGCCCCTATTAAACACGAACAACAAACCTGAGCTACGGTCTTTGTTCATATCCCTGTAAGCCATCAGGGATGTGAAATAAAATGTATATTTGCCGATGACTCACGTTTTGCGAGCAAATATGAAAATCTTAAAGACAGTTCTTATATATAAAAAAAAAAATTTGCTAAATGCACTGCAGCATTTTTTGTCTAGAATTTTGTGTAAACGTTTAAACACTGTTAAAAGTTTTATATGAGGACATATAGGCCCTAGTTATTAGCCTACAGCCGTTCAATATGACAGATCAAACGATTCCCGAACTAATAAACGTCTGCGTTCCCCCAAAGAAACTTTTCATTTTTCCTTCCATAACATATATTTTCCCCCCATTATCCGCAGAAATCACTGTCACTCCGTTCAACTCCGTTCACTCGGCTTTCAATCTATGACAGGTGAAATAGGATAAGTAGGATATTTGATGAATCTTTGCGGCATAAAAATAGATAAACTGGTCAGTGTTTTTATTAAAAACTTATTTTGCATTTCACGACAGGTTATTTTTAATATTTTACAGATGATCATTCAAGTTGCATGGCCAGAGCCATAGCTATGTAGTGTAAGGCCTGGTAATAATTAGTGAAGGTGGCCCCAGTTGCTGTTTCATCAGGGTGTTGGTGGTGTGTTTACAGGCGTTGCTCACAGCATGGTTATGAGCCACAGTGCAGACTCAGCTCCCGCAATGAGCAATAAAACTCTAGGGGAACAAACAATCAAGACAGCCTCATTCTTCTAAGAACCCAAAGTCGTCTGCCAGCAAAGAGAGTGGGACAACTGTATTTCTACAGTTAGGCTATAAAGATGTGGAAGCAGATTCTAATAATTTCAGTAGCCATATTATAAATACATGATATTGTCATAATTGATATAGCACATAGTCCATTTATTTCTGAACATTAAATTGCCTTAGTGGATTTTACATCTCGGCCTGCTCATATTTGGGTTTACATAAAAATGATGATGATGGTGATGATGGAAAAATAAATTGCATGACCACATCTCTTTATCAGCTGTACAAACAACATATGAAGTCAAAGGGGAAAAAAGTAGATATTTTCTGCCACCTTGTGGATTATTGGAATATTGCAATTTCACATTTGAGAGCTCACTCCTGGTACTGCACTGCATTCTAAAACCATGTTGCATGAAAAGGTTACAACAAGAAAAATACGCACATAGTGTAACCGAAACATGATTAAGATGAGACAAGGACCATTCAGATTTGCTTGGAATGATATAAACATTTGGAGACACTCCAATTTTTGGAATATCCTCTCATTAACAAGAGATGATATCATTCATTCAGTTTCATAAATAAAATGGACACATTTTGGCAGTGGATTTGGCATCTGAAGCATTTTAATTGGAAGTTTGCAGGTTGTGTTTTCTCTCTTTTTTTTTTCTTAAGAAGCACTGTGCAAATTTGTAACCTGTAAATATTGAAGCTACATATGTAAACCGATCAAATCCAGGGATAAGACATGCATTCAGCCCTTATTTTGATGTCAATAGACAAATCAGAGACAGTGCTAACCATTCAAATAGCAAAAATAAACATAACAATCAAAAGGCATCAACAATAAAAAATTTCTACGAAACAAAGCAGGTTCAATAAATACCATATTTACAGAGCACTGAAAAAACAAATGCATGCAAGTTGATTATTGTGGCTTTTGAAGAAAAAGTAGTCCACAGTTTGTTTGTTTTCGTATCACAAGTGAGATTCAGTAAATTCCTACAACCTAAAAGAGTACATTTTTATTTTAGGTGTTTCAGGAGCTACATCATCTAGCATTTAAAAAAGCCCTTAGGACTCAGAGGTCAAACGAAATGACAATTCAAGCAAAATGACAATTCAGGTAAATTCTGGGATGAAGAGTGCTTCTGAGTTTATAGTCATACTTTTTGTGAAAATAGATCACAGGGCATGCATGGAATAAGAGGTTAGAAGTTAGAAACTAATGAGATTCTTTTCTGTCCCTTTTACTCTGCAAAAGCCCTGACTGGTGCATTGCTAAATAAAAACTGATTAACTCAAATCTCTTTTTGTCAGACAGGTATTATACAAAATGTCTTTGTATATACAGTATAACCCTTTAACTTTATATTCAATATAAAATTATTGAATTATGGTCATGGCTTTTAACTGAGTTCCACAGCATTCACCCTGGTTCTGTCTGTTTATATTTGAGTCACTGAGTTGTACTTCCTCTTGGGTACACATCTTTGCAGATGTAGTCTTGGACCAAAGACTTGGTTTAAGTCCCACCAATAGACCAGCTAATGGCATCAGCTTCATTTACACAAACACTAAACTTCCCTAGAGAGAGAGAGAGAGAGAGCGAGAGAGAGAGATAAACACAGACAATTTTTAAAATAAATAGCAAATTAAAAATATATTTGCAATGTGACATCATCTTTTATATAATTTCAAAGCAACTGCATAGCATTTAATAACAAATCATCCACTCAAACATCAGGGAACAATTAGAGACCTTCCACAAGGTAAAAATAGATACAATACATGGAAAAAAGTGAAAAACTCAGTACTCAGGATTCTAGATTCAGTCATTCTCTCGGAAGGTCCAATTCTCTAATAACTCTGGGTGGAGACTGAGATTATTAGATAAAAGACACTGGGGACAAAAGCACTGGATGACGGCTAGACAATAGAGGCTTGGCTATCCTGTGCCTCACTGACTGAGATCACTGTGTCTCAACCTATTAAAAGCTATATCAGAAGAGCACATTGTCTTCTAATGGGCTGAGTCCACACTGATGGCTAATGGCGTGCCACACTCTGCGGAGAACATTAACAACGAGGAGGACACGCTGTGCGAGCAAGTCTGGACAATGAGGGAGAGTTTTGTAACAGCATGCAGGAACAATCTGTCTGCAAGCTATTAGTGAGATGACAAGAGTTTGAGGGATACATACTAATGCCTAGCGTTGACATCTTTTTATAGCAAGTTTATAAGAATGGCTAAATTACCATGTGCAGTTGGTGAATAAAGACAAGGACCAAGCAACATGTTTGAATTGAAATTTGTTTGTGGATACACGACTGAAATTATATTTGGCATTAAAAATAAAACCTATTTTAGGACCTATTTTATTCAAACCTGTTTTATTTTCATGACAAAATATTCTCAGTAATAAAAGTCATCATGTCCAGACACAAGCATTAAATTAAATGTAATACAACAAATATTACCAAATTCTACTTTACAAATGTACACTACCATTCAAAGGTTTGGAGTCAGTAGGATTTATTTTACGTATGCATTAAATTGATAAAAAAAAATGACACTTCCAGTGTTACAAAAGATTTCCATTTCAAATAAATGCTGTTCTTTATAACTTTTTTATTCATCAAAGGCACCTGAAAATATCACAGTTTCCACAAAAATATTAAGCAGCAATGTTTTCAATATTAATAAAAAAAGAATTGTTTCTTGAGCACCAAATTAACATATTAGAATGATTTCTGAAGGATCATGTGACACTGGGGACTGTAGTAATGATGATGCTGAAAATTCAGCTTTGCTATTCAAAGGAATAAATTACATTTTAAAATATATTAAAACGCTTCTTTTAAATTGTAAAAATATTTCACAATATTAATGTTTTTACAGTATTTCAGATTAAATAAATGCAGCCTTGCAAGAGACTCCATTTAACAAATGTTACTGACCCCAAACTTTTACAGTATTGTGTACTTTTTTAATTATAGTAATGATCATTTTTGTTTTTTATATTACAACAAGCTACCGACTGGAAATTATGCCACAGTGCAAAAATACCCTAAAATTGGTTTCCTTATCTTGGTGCAAAAAAAAAATAAAAAAATAAAAAAATAAATAA